TATCAGGTTAGCCACTTGTTTTTACTTTTTATCTTTGTTAAATTTATTGAGATGACATTGGTCAGCATGAACATGTAGGTTTCAGGTGTGGGTTTCTATGTTACAAGATCTCTACATTACACTATGTCAAATGCCACTTGTTTTTAAAAGTGCCCTTTTTTTTTCCCTGTTGGTTACTTCAGCCTCAGGCCCTAGTGAGCTGTTAACATTTCTGATTACCCAACAGGAAGACCTGTTGAAACTTTCAAATGTTCCTATTAGTTTTTGAAAAATTAGCTTCCAATTTTTTTAAGTTTCTGGTCAGTTATTGAATCCTTTAAAACCTGTTCAATATATTCTCATAATCGTTTTATCTCAATAACCTTGTAAAAAGTTCCACCTTATTGGGAAGTCTCTAACTTTGCCTGCCTTATGTGGGGCGGGGTGGGCAGGGCAGGCAGGGCGGGCCGAAGCATGATCTGACTGGCCACCCAACCAAGAGGGATCCGGGCCTGCCATCTGTGACCTGGGGAGACGGGGCAGACACCGCGGGATTGGGCTTGCCATCTGCCACCAGGGGAGCTGGCCTCAGCCAGCAGAGGGGTCCCAGACTGTGAGTGGGCACAGGTTGGGCTGAGGGACCCCCCCACCACCGCCGCCAGTGCACAAATTATTGTGCACCGGGCTTCTAGTATAAATATAAAATGGGCTTAATAAAATTCCTGGTACATCATAAAGTTAGTTCCATGTCCCCTTGAATGATTATAAGCTTTGAGGAGAGTTATTTTATTCCTCTAAAACAATACATTCTCAAATAATCCATTTTCTAGCCAGCTCCCAGCTTCCTGTCTTTCACCCTTGGACAGTGACTTGTGACATCAGTCCTTCGGTAGATTTGTGTTAAATATTAATGTTGCAAACATTGCTTAACACCCCGTTAAAGGGATCAGAGAGCAGTCAGAGCCCTGGGGCTGGCCTGGAGCCAGTGTGCTTTGTGGCAGGTGGGCAGTGCCACGGCCATTCCTGCACTGTATTCAGACTGAGAGTTGAAGGATGACAACACTGGATTCTGGTGTGGCAGGCAAGGAGCCTGAGTGAAAAGCCAGCCAAAATCATCTGGAAGGAGGGAAGTGGAGAGACTCAGGCTTTTCCCTCTAGTCTGCATCATGGACCCCTCTGTCCCCAAGGGATTGAGCTAGTTTGCCTTTACAAAAACTGCTGTGGTAACCAAGGGTGTTTAATAAGTTCCTCTAAGTAATTTTTTTCTCTTGATTTTCTCTTATTTATTACCAAGCCTCATCTTGCATTCTGGGCAACTATCAAAAGTCTAGATATGCTTGGAGGAAACTATTTTTTCCTTGGTGGAGGAGGGGATGGGATGGTGGTATTGAAAGCATATTTTACAAATAGTTTTATTGAGTATAATTGCATGTTTTAAAACATACATATTTAAATTGAGCAATTTGATGAGTTTTGACATATATATATATGTTAACACAAAAACATTCAAACCTGTAAAGAATTATTGTGAGTTTATTTGAGCCAAACTGTCAACATATGCCAGGAAGCAGAACCTCAACAAATTGAGATAATGCTCTGGAG